AATTTTGGGGGCACATTCTTCGGTCAGATGACACCAAGATAATTTTTTCAGATTGGTTTGTTGCCTGGTCAGTGAATGAATGGTCCTAATAGTAAACCAGGAGATTGCAGTTTACACCCCTCCCCCTTGGCTGATGCTGCTGCGGCCGGTGAGCTCATCCATAGTTCAGTGTCCCAGCTGCAGACATCACACCCTCAGTCTCTGATCATCATCTCAGGAGACTTTAGTCGTACAGCGCTCTCTACCACCATCTCTCCCCACATTCAGCCAGTATGTGGACTGCCCAACCGGAGACGGTGGGGCCTTGGACCTGCTGTGTGCCGACACCAGGGATGCATATTACGCAATTATTGTTATTTTCTTGAGCTTTCTATATTTTTGCTGTTGCGTGTAAATTTCCCCTAATGGGGTATCAAAAAGTATTCTATTCATTCATTCAGAGAGGTGGGAGAGTGATCGTAATGTGAGTAACGACGACTGTAAAGGACTGAGTTGTGTTGCTTTGAGTTCTTACTGTGCAGACTGTTTTTATTTTTAATACAGTCGATATAAACTGATAGTTTTTTATTTGCATAAAAGCAAATACGCTACTGCTCAACTTAGAAGTAATGGGATTACTGTGAGGTGGTAACATTTTGGATTATTCGTCATTTCAGTCATATTGCGAGTAAATCAATATAACATGATGTCCCCACAGATGTGCCTGTTTTTATTTGATATCATCTCACGTTTTGGGTCGTGGCTCTGATGATAGCCTGGAATAAAGAACTCTGCCTCTTTCACATGAACATACTCAGAGGTGTAGAAGGTTTCGTTTTTTATCAGGCAATGACTATTTTTAAGTAGGAGCTCATAGAGTTAAAAAAAGAAACCTTATATCTATAATCAGAGTAGACAACATGAACCTCATCACGCTATCCTCAGAGGTGGACTGAAAAACAAGAGTCAACTGAGAGCAGCTACATGATCCCAGCTCACAGCATTTAGGCTAAAGGGAGTACACATAGTAAATGAAACTTCCTTCATGATACACAGACCACAACAATAAATCCATCAGCAGACACAAAAAGCTCACTCACACCCGAATGGCTCCAGATATCTATGGATGAAACTCCTTCAGATCTAAGTTAAGCAGGAAACACTTCCCTGGAGGGAACCACAAATTACTCCGACAAAGAAAAGAAAACATTCATCAATAATGAAGCCGTGGCATAACCTTGATCTGCTTGAATATTAATATGTTAATAGTTGCTTACAAACCACACACACACTGATTTCACTGAGCCTCTATCAGTATCCCAGCACGCCGTGACTTCTGTCCACTTCATGATTTGATGTTATTCCCATCAGCGACATGCAGGGAATGAGGGAATAAACGTACTTCTTTTTACATCTGTGATGGTGCAGCATCAAACAGCTGCAGTTAAGCAGAATGTGGAGCTTCTAAAGGCTCTAACAGCTTATTTGCTGTTGCACTCAACACTGTTCTGACTTTTTCAGATGTATTATGAGCATCTTTGAAACATACAAGCTGTAGGAAAAGGCTCTTGTTGATTTTTAAGACCGGAAACAATTAATGCTGTAACACTACACTGTAAAACATCCTACCAAACCAGCAAGAGCTGTTCAGTGGCTGGGAAATGTTTCAAGGGGGATTTGTTGCAATCAGTAGGTAATCTGAGGCAGTTTGTAAATCACGTAGCAGCTTCAATCTCTTTGGTCCTAAACCTTTATATACATTTGATCCCTGTCCTGGCAATGATTCTTACTTTTTTAAACAAAGCAATACCATTCGATAAAAGGGATTAGAAAGTGTGCAAATTTCTTAATCAATAATGTAAACAGGGAGCGATTCCTCCGTGGATCAGGACCCTCGATCAAAGCCGGTCACAGAGGACCATGGCGACGCCTACAGCAGAGTCGGCGTTCTGTCCGTACACCACCTCCTGAGGGAACGCCTTCTCCACTTCCTGCCGGAGCACCTCATTGCGAGCCAGCGCGCTGCCACTGCCCACGATCCTGCGGACCCCCGCCTGCTGCAGACGCTCTGCTGGCATCATGGAGGTGACGTTGCTCAGGATCCCGTGGCACAGCGCCCGGACCACGTGACCCAGAGAGAGGTTGGTGGCAGAGATGTCGGTCACCTGACCCAGGCACAGAGGGTTGTGCCTCTCTCCCAGGATGGTAGGATTCACCCTCAGGTCGCTGGTTTCCTGATTTAGGGCGCAATGGATCAGCTTTTCATACAAGCTGGAGTCGGTCAGCTCGGCACCTGTGAGGATGGAAGGAGTTCAGATGTGATCAGTGTGGCACCAGTTTACTGAGATCTCTCTGCCTGTGGTCTGTACAGTAAAACTCTAGTAAAAACCATTCCACTGTTATTGTTTTGCTCAC